AAAACAAAATTACGAAGTAGACTGGACATAAACCACACACTTGAGGTGTCATTGTCTCCTATTCCCCCGAGATGGGACCGTCCGGTTGCAGAAAATCAAGCTCGGTGCTGTGGTGAGTCGTCATTTTCATGCACTTTGAATTTGCGTTGTATCGTATTTTGAAGGCATTAAACATTGCCATAGCGATCGGAGTGTTGCGGCCAGATTAGACGCTCCTTGTGTTTATTATTATATTTCGAAAACGCCACAGTTTTCATGCAGCTCATACCATATTATTTTGTTGTATTAATTCCGCCACATCTTAAATGCCGGTCCCTGAAAATATTGTCTGACATAAACCGGTCCGTGGGGCAAAAAAGGTTGGGGGCCCCTGCTCTAAGCTATCCCGACATGTGATTGTGAGCGCGAATGGTTGTTTGTCTCTGTGTGCCCTGCGATTGGCTGGCAACCAGTTCAGGGTCTGCCCCGCTTACTCTTTGAAGGAAGCTAGGATAGGCTCCAGCACGCCCGCAAGCCTTGTCAGGATAAGCAGAGTAGAAAATGGATGGATGATTAATAAACAGTTTTTCTTCAAAACTTTGCAAATGCAAAGATGATCGTACGTGGTCCAACCCAAGCACGTCTCAACCCACAGACTTTCGGTAACTCGAAAATATTTATTAACTGTCAACATACTGCTTGAGTATTAAGGGGGAAAAATGCAGGTGCAGAATCATCAAAAAACATATATATATTTTTTTAATGTGGCCAAACGCATGCAAGAAAATATCAGCGTAACTACTACAAAATTTAGAAACAGTCGGTTGGTTCGATATAGCAACCATGAACCAATGAAAGTCATTTTGGTGTCAAATACTGCCCCAGATAGAACAGGCACTCAGCTAATGATATTTATTCAAACTAAAATAATGAAGGAATGACAGATAAACAGAGGACCAACTTTTCCAGTGTTTTTCAAACCCTGTGCCGCGACACACCAGTGTGCCGTGAGATATTGTCAGGTGTGCCGTGGGAAATGATCCAATATGTATGCCTGTGCGGTCTATAGCTCGTCAGAGTAATCGTGTAGTACTCTTCCATACCGGTAGGGAGTAGCAGCAGCAGCTAGTGAATCGCCTTGTGCTTTCAGGCAAGCGAAGTTTCCGGCGGGAGCCAATACGACGAAAGTTTTCTTTCATTTAGATTTACTTTTACCGAAGATGCAACGGCACCGACTCCGGTGTGCTTGGTATGTGGTGACAAGCTCTCCAACAGCGTTACGATGGTCCAAAGTAAGCTTAAACTCCATCTCCAAACAAAACACCCTTCACTTCAAAACAACAATGTGGAGTGTTTTGTTCAGAGGCGTGAACACACGGAGAAACAAGCGACGTGCATGAGAAAAACCGCAAAGGTAAACGAGAGAGCCTTGAAAGCAAGTTACCATGTCGCTGAACTTGTGGCTAAATCAAAAAAGTGGCAGAGCAATTAATACTTGCCGCCTGCAAAGCCATTGTAAATGAGATGTTCGGACCCGAAGCGGCTAAAGAAATAGCCTGACTGCTGTAAAAACAGAAAGAATGAGAGCTGTGGAAGAAGAGCTTTGTGTCTTTCATCGATTTCTGCCAGGGTATCAGATCTGTGTTCATCCAAACCATTTATCACACTGAGCGGCAATAGATATGAAAGATTATAAAATATTGGATTGATGTTGATTTGATTCCAATTCAAGGTGTTATAATATAGCGTTATTTTTCAATGTCAAAAAAACGCTTATAATAACAATATAACAATTTTTAAAATAAGCTTTTTTCACATTTTCAGCAAGTGTTTTTTCAATGAAAGAAATGTGCCTTGGCTGGAAAAAGATTGAAAAACACTGAACTATTCAATGTAAAGTGCAGAAAAAGACCTACAATTTTAACATACACTATTATTTATTTCATTGTTTCGGCATTTTTTTTTCTCATTTCCTGTTTCAGGCAAGCAGTTTCATTTTGATACATGCCTCGTTAATGTATTTAAATAATCCAAAATAATACTGCCTGGTAAATTAAACAAAAACACCCGGTGGCTTGGTCTACATTGGCCCAATCTTAAAGACTCAAAAAAAGAAAACAGCCAGGGACTCTTGATAAATACGCACCACTTATTTCCAGCTCAGCCCAGTATGACTTCTTCCCATTGGCTGCCTCCTCGCTGGACATTATCGTGTACATCCGCCTGGGATCCGGCGGGTCATATTTTTCCTTGGGCATTCCTGTAACACTAGAGGGGGGGAGAGAGAGAGAGAGAGAGAGAGAGAGAGAGAGAGAAAGAGATCAATGCCATTAGGAGAGGCTGGAAAAATGCTAAAGTTGTGTCATCATGTGTAAGACTCACAAACCAAAAGTCATTTACATGGAAAAAAAAAGATCAGTAAATGACTGACTGAAATCACACACACCACAACCTATTTGGGATCTAAGTTGGGGACACCCTGCTTTTAAGGTTAGCAGAGATGAACACTATTTGAAGACGTGTGCAAATATCAAATGGAGACTTAACAATAGCATGTGTCTGAAAAATAACGGAGCGTAATGACAATGTCAACAAGTCTTGATAAACATGAGTATCAGATGAGATTTCGCCAAACACCAAAGATTACTGTCATACTTACAACAACGCCATAGTTTGGAAATGTAGTGTTTATCGCCGTTATATAGTCCAAGGTTCTAGTTTGGCGATTTTCCCCCCTTCATTGACGATCGCTGATTAGCCTAGCTTAACCTAAATAGGTTTTGTTGGCTACCAAACTCTGCATAACACACACGCCACACAGCTAACGTTGACGCGGACGCATTTCCTCGCAGACCGAAGGGGAGTCACTAAGTGGGTCAGATCACGCATGTATTGTGCTTGCCATCGTTCCATCGATCTTATCAAAGACGCGAGACGTGAAATTTATGAATATATACATCACATTTGTTTACATAACAGCCTTGCACTGCTTAGCGAACAACACTAGGCCAAGAAACATCGTAGCAACAAGCTACCGCTAACTAGCCGATATTACAGAAGGCACCAAAATCGTGTGAATCTTATTAAAGTACGCGGGCTTATAAAACATCACAATAGCGCGTCTGCGAGTCCTTCCGAGCTATTTTAGCTTTAGCGCTTGTTAGCTGGATAGCTAGCTACAAGCTAACAGATCCAATTATTCGAGGCTGACTTGCCATTCTAATAAGTCTCGCTACGGAAAAGGGGGAAAAAAACACCGATACGTTTTCGATATCGAATTCTGTCTAAAAGAGGAACGTGGGGTCGGCTGGATGGAAAGAATGGCGTTTATACCTGCAAGAGCATACCAAATGGCGAGGACGACTGCGTGCTCTCTTTTGTTTTCTAGCCACTTCTCAGCCGTTTCCGCTGCTGCTGTATTATGGCGACGGTGGGGATTTTTTCCCTCTACTGATAACGGCGAGAGCTGCGATTGGTCCGCGTCTAACGGGCTCCAACAGCTGTTGAATCAAAATAAAACCCTCAGCTGAGTGAACATTACAAAGTTAGCGTCTGGTCCTTGTCTTGAGTATTTATTGGTAGCTTTCATAGACTGATATGATGCTGCACTCACATATGGGTGCAAGATGAGTCCCTGTAAATTGAAAATGAAATGCCTTACAAATTTGACACACCACACAGAATAGCGTTGTTAACAATCCTGCCAAATGTGAATGAATAACAACAACAACAAAAAATCGCCAAGTGGGCTATATAAAATGAGACCCCAAAAGTGTAAAAAAATATATATATATAGCCCTGCTCCCAGCAGTCAGACACTGTGTGCGCCAAATAAAAAAATGTTCTCTACAAGAGCAGCGTCTTCATATTTTTGCACCTCCAATAGGAGAGAGACTGGCAGAGTGATTGTTGAGTGCTGTTGTCAAAGTGCAGCCTACTTTTCGTCTCAGTGGGAAAGGTCTCCCTGTGACTTTGTGGCTGTTATGTCAGCACTTTCAAATATGGGCAAGGTTGCACCAGGGCACCATCAACTTTCACATTGGGCAAGCAGAGTGCGGAAAAGCTTTTCCTTGTGACTCAGATACGTTCCTGTACAAACATTTGTGCTGTATTGTCTGAAGAGTGATCCAACACCACTTTGCTCCACACATTCATAATACAAGCAGGAACAACTCCAAGTAAAAAGCAGTGTTTAGAATTGTGAAGAATGAAGAGATATATGATTTGAATTAATGGGCCATCAATCGCACTATGCAAAATGATGTCAGCTGTCTGTGTCAACTGCTCACTCCGATGGGCTGTTATTTAGCAAATCAAAGTCAGTACATGACATAGACATAGTCTATGAAAGAGTACACAAAAAGCAAAGCAACGGCAATTAAAATGCCCTTATCTAGTAAATTAAACTCAGCAAAACGTTGCTGTTCACTTTGACTTGATCCTGCTTGTATCATGAGTGCGTTGAGCAAGGTTCTGGATATGTGTACATTAAGACTTGGCGATAATTCTATATCATTATGTAGAGCAATAGACACATGGACAATATCAAGAGAAAATACATTCGATAAAATGTTCGATAGAAAAAAAAAATCAAGAGTACTCTGTGCTCTATGGTGTTGCAGCTAATTATTTTTGATCAGGATCAATCCTTTAGTTCCCACATACAACAACTTCAACAAGTATCAAGAACACAATTTTTTTCACTTGCGAAATGTTATAAAAACTGGTCATTTCCTGCCACTTGCTGATGTTGTAAAACTAGTTCACGCTTGTGTGACCTCACTTTGGATTATTGCAACTCTTTGCAATCAAGTTGCACAAGCAAGTCTGTAAAGACCCCCCCCCCCCCCACCCTCAGCTCATTCAAAACACAGCGGTATCGGTGCTAAACTGAGCCAAGAGGAGAGTTTATATTTGTCCTTTACTGCACTTGTTTCCCATAGACATTCTCCCCCTTTCAAACAAAGCAGGACATGATAAATTAGCATCAAAATCCATTTTTTCCCCCACTGTTTTATGCATAATATAGATCAAATATAAGACTGACATGGTTCAAGTTTGAAAAAAAAAGTGTTGCTATTACTCACTTAAACTCAAATTTGCATGGGAATAAATACAGATCGTTACTATTTGTGGCACACAGAACTTTCCGATAACTCCTCGTACCAATATCGACGCCGCACCAAAGAGCAGGCCAGGAGAATGGTGACAGTTATCATATTTCATTAGTATTTGTTATCAACTCTGAGTTGTACATTACTGTGACCCAAACTAAATCGACTGAAACACTCAAAAAAAGCACGATGGGCGAGGCATCTGGTTAGGATGCCTCGAGGACACATCATCCATGTAGTTTGTTACGATAACCTGTTTTTCGGTCATTATCCTGTTACTGTACAAGAGGCAGACCCATGACCTGCGACTCAGACGAAGCTTTCTGACACCGGGCAGCACATTTCTCTAGAATACCTTGAGAGTCTTGAGATTTCATTTTACCCTGCACAGATTCAAGAAACACTGTGCCAGATGTAGCACTGCAGCCCCAGAACATAAGAGCTTCCTCCATCTTCTACAGTGAGGACAGTGTGGTTTTTTTTTGGGGGGGCGGGGGGGTTGCTTCATTTTCGCATCTGTGAACAGAGAGCTGATGTGCCTTGCTATCAAGTTCCAGTTTTGTCTCGTCTGTCCGCAGGACATTCTCACAGATGCTTTGCGGCGTGTCCACTTGCAGCGTGGCAAATTCCAGTCTCGCTATTTGTCATTTGTCTTCAGCAGTGGAGTCCTTCTTGGTAATCTCCCATGAAGTCCACTTTGGCTCAAACAAGGATGGATGGTGCGTTCCGTACATTGCCTTGGAGTTTACCTATCATTTATTTAGAGGTTGTTCTGGGTTCTTTTGTTACCATTCATATCATCGGTATATAATTTTACTCGACTAAGCCGGTGTTGGGAGTAACACGGTACAAAAGTAGCATGTTACAGTACAAGATTACATTAAGCGGTAACGAGTTACTCATTGTATTTTTGTAATATTGTTACACAAACCAAGCTGACATTTTACAATATTGGGACAACTAGACATATTCAACAAAATTAAACACTCACAAAATAAAAGCTAGAAAGAAAAAAAAAGTCCTTTTATTCGTGGACAGTTCATATTATTTACATAAACAATCTCCATAATTACATTTTCTTGTCAAAGGTAGTCAAGTTACAAAATTGAACTTTTTTTCTATTAAATTTCACTTTGAAACAAGTATTTTACTTTTACACTAGGTTCAATATTTAACATGGACAAGAAGTCATTGTTTTATCATATTATTCAGTCATGATGTCATGAAATGAAAGGCCAAACATTCAAAATACAAGCAGGAACAAACCTAAGTAAAAAACAGTGTTTACAATTGTGAAGAATGAGGAGTTGCATGATTTGAATTCAATGGGCCATCAATCACAGTCTGCAAAATAGAGATCACTCTGATTGGCTTGCCAATCGGGCTCCCTACATTATGTGTGTAAATAAATTTTCCTGTGTTAAAAATTGTATTTCTGGTGTACAGTCTGGGATTATTTATTGAACCAAATATCAGTTCCAATATTTATATTTTTTAAAAATACTTCTTGTAAGTTGTTATTGATACAATATTAATCAAAGGTAGTGATCTCACACCATGGGGTTGAAACATTTAACATTCTACCCCACACTATGTAGTTGAAAATCCTCATTACAAATGGATGGAACCACTGGCGGAGTGTTGTGGTTAATCATAAAAGGCCTGTTGTTCTAAACCTGTTTTTGTTTGGTATTTAAATAAAAATAAAAGGTTGAGAATGTGAGTGGGAATTGGCAATGTGCCTCGCAACTGTCTGGCAGTCCAGGGTGGGTCCTGCCTCTCGCTCAAAGTCACCTGGTGGAAGAGATAGGGAACAGCTCTCCCACAACCTTAAAGTGTGACATAAAATGAATGGCTGGAAGGAGCCTGATATCTCTCTCATTCATACACCCAATTTAACCAAAACAATGGCAGAAATATGAATATAAAATGAATGTTTTAAGCCGGTGTTGGGAGTAACACGGTACAAAAGTAGCATGTTACAGTACAAGATTACATTAAGCGGTAACGAGTTACTCATTGTATTTTTGTAATATTGTTACACAAACCAAGCTGACATTTTACAATATTGGGACAACTAGACATATTCAACAAAATTAAACACTCACAAAATAAAAGCTAGAAAGAAAAAAAAAGTCCTTTTATTCGTGGACAGTTCATATTATTTACATAAACAATCTCCATAATTACATTTTCTTGTCAAAGGTAGTCAAGTTACAAAATTGAACTTTTTTTCTATTAAATTTCACTTTGAAACAAGTATTTTACTTTTACACTAGGTTCAATATTTAACATGGACAAGAAGTCATTGTTTTATCATATTATTCAGTCATGATGTCATGAAATGAAAGGCCAAACATTCAAAATACAAGCAGGAACAAACCTAAGTAAAAAACAGTGTTTACAATTGTGAAGAATGAGGAGTTGCATGATTTGAATTCAATGGGCCATCAATCACAGTCTGCAAAATAGAGATCACTCTGATTGGCTTGCCAATCGGGCTCCCTACATTATGTGTGTAAATAAATTTTCCTGTGTTAAAAATTGTATTTCTGGTGTACAGTCTGGGATTATTTATTGAACCAAATATCAGTTCCAATATTTATATTTTTTAAAAATACTTCTTGTAAGTTGTTATTGATACAATATTAATCAAAGGTAGTGATCTCACACCATGGGGTTGAAACATTTAACATTCTACCCCACACTATGTAGTTGAAAATCCTCATTACAAATGGATGGAACCACTGGCGGAGTGTTGTGGTTAATCATAAAAGGCCTGTTGTTCTAAACCTGTTTTTGTTTGGTATTTAAATAAAAATAAAAGGTTGAGAATGTGAGTGGGAATTGGCAATGTGCCTCGCAACTGTCTGGCAGTCCAGGGTGGGTCCTGCCTCTCGCTCAAAGTCACCTGGTGGAAGAGATAGGGAACAGCTCTCCCACAACCTTAAAGTGTGACATAAAATGAATGGCTGGAAGGAGCCTGATATCTCTCTCATTCATACACCCAATTTAACCAAAACAATGGCAGAAATATGAATATAAAATGAATGTTTGAACATTTACATAAAACCATTAAAAAAAAAAAAAAAGTCATTTGATTGGTCTTTGGCAGCCCGGTGGACCAGTAGTTAGCGCGTCGACATCACAGTGCAGAGGTACCGGGTTCAATTCCAGCTCCGGCCTCCCTGTGTGGAGTTTGTATGTTCTCCCCGGGCCTGCGTGGGTTTTCTCCGGGTACTCCGGTTTCCTCCGACATTCCAAAAACATGCATGGCAGGCTGATTGAACTCTCTAAATTGTCCCTAGGTGAGAGTGTGAGCGCGGATGGTTGTTCGTCTCTGTGTGCCCTGCAATTGGCTGGCAACCGGTTTAGGGTGTTCCCCGCCTACTGCCCGAAGACTGCTGGGATAGGCTCCAGCACGCCCCGCGACCCTTGTAAGGATCAAGCAGTTCAGTAAATGGATGGATGGTTGGTCTTTGTAATTCATATCCCCGATCTAACAAAACAATGTCAGCCAGAAATGTTCATAAATGGACACTGTGCCCTAATGACCAAATAACGTAATTAATCAATTAAGATAAATACAAATGCAATCTTTTCACTTATTTACAAGAGCAAACAGTTATTTGTTTGTAGTTATAAAAATACCTTTCTTAGAGAAAATAGAGTCCAATGGCAATACTTATTCTAAAATCAACACTGTTTCCTCATTTAACATTCACAGACATCGAGCAGAAAGTCCTGTAAATAAGTGAGGGACTCTTCCACGTGAGGCGGCAAGGCTTGGCCGACGTCTGCCTGGGATCTGGACAGGAAGGCCTCCACAGATTTACAAATGGCCGCCTTTGTTACCATATCATCGGTCTTGTAGACCCAGGATCCCGGCCGGCTTATTTCCTTGCTGACCGAGCTGTACAGATATCCTAGACATGACGTGGACAGTGTGGAGGTCAACAATACATCTTTATTTACCAGGATATTTACTGGTACCCAAACTATCATAACGTTATTTGAACATTCTCTCCCCGGGAGACAAAATGCACAGTGGTCAGTCTATGTCAGGACAATGCAAACTTGCAAAAAAAATAATAAAATAGATATCAGATATTAAAAATAGTACTGTGTGGAATAGACAACAAACATCATAACATGTTAACTCATGCAAGCGTAATACGGTAACTATTTTTCTACCCTGAGTACATTTTTAATCAATCCTTTGTACAAAAATGCAATGTGTAAAATTACATCCAGATATATTAAATATGGGAAGTAAGATAATAATAAAAAAGAGCAAGCGCAAAGGTCCTTTATCGCGATGATCCCGGTTCTTCCGAAAATCTCACCTTTCATTGTTGTGTTGTAGCTGACTAGCAACATCCAGAGGTGTTGAACCAATTCCTCCCATTTCTTCCAACGTTCACCATCATCCTGGGGATTCAAAATGACACATCAGATTGTGAGTTCATCGTTTGCATTCCCAGCATGTCACCTACCGGTATTTTTCAGTGGACGTTTTTCATGGGTTTTGACAATATCCAGGCAAGTCTGAATTCAGAGTTGTGTGACTTCATTAGTATCACTTTGTGCTGCAACATGCAGAGTAGCACTGAAGTCGATTGGAAGAGATGCAGTCATATCCAAAGCAAGACGACACAGCTTCAGTGTAATACAGTGTATTTTGCCATTTTATTATCATTGTTGGCCACAGAGCAGAAACCGTAGGAATACAGGAACATACAGTAAAGTGTGTGTTTATGATTTTCATATAATTTGATCATCAAGACCGACTGCTGTGAATTTCATTTTGAAAATCTAATAATTTTACTGAAACATATGAGAATTTGAATTATTGGCAGTTATCAAAAGGTACTACTGTACTTAAATGTTTGGATGTACCTGTAAAGGACTTTTCTCACTCAAGTTGTTCTTACCTTTAATGTCACTGGTTAAAAAAAAAGTAACAGAGTATATTGTATGTGGAACTTCAAAACCCAATACAGGATTGCATTTGTTTTCATTGCAGCACTCAGGTAGATGTGCAGTGCTCAATCGCAGGGTGTGCGGTGAAGAGTCGCTCACAGTAATTTTTTGGGCAATGGCCAATGTCAATTGTGTTTGGCCGTGTCAAATGCTGTGTGATGGGTCTTAGGTTTAAGGGTGTTTTAATAAGTTTAAATGTGTTTAAAACGGCAGCGCGATGTTCGACTGGTTATCACGTCAGCCTCACTGTGCAGAGGTCCAGGGTTCTATTCCAGGCTCTGGACTTCCTGTGTAGAATTTGCATGTTCTCCCGATGCCTGTGTGGGTGTTCTCCGGGTACCATTATTCAAGCGGCTTATCTTTGGGCAGTAGGCAGGGTACACCCTGAACTGATTGCCAGCCAATCACAGGGCACACATAAGACATACAACCATTCATACTCGCAATCAGATCTTGAGACAATATAGAGTGTCCAATTAACCTATTGTGTATTGTGTATGTTTTTGGAATGTGGGAGCAAACCGGAAAAACCCACGCAGGTACGGGAAGAACATGCAAACTCCACACAGGAAGGCCAGGACCCGGAATCGAACCCATGACCTCCATACTGTGAGGGTGAGTTTCTAACCAGTCGATTACCATGCCGCCTCAATACATAACATTTAGTTATCAATTCATGAATTTCGATAATACTTAGTGACACGTGCGGTAGTCACCGTTGGGTCTGCAGCCAGTGTACAGTTCTCCAAAAAGTGCAACAAGCGACTGAGCGACATGGGCACAGTCATTTTCAGTGGGCACGCTTGGTCCAGTAGATGTTCCAGCAGCTTCCATCTGAGCAGGTGATTCTGCAGGCTGTCCAGCAGCAGGACCCTGGGAGTCATTTGGGGAGAAAGAGAATCTCAGGAGAAGAGGGCAATTGTGTAGCAGGAGAACAGAAACATTTTTCGAGTTTGTGTACCGGTTCACTATGTTATTTGCTCTTCTCTCACTTCGCTCACCTGTGTGCTCGCAGGGGCTCGATGCTAATGAGTGTGAAAAAGAGCTCCTGGGACAATTTCATTGCACTGAGTGCAGGAGAACGATCCACCTCTAAAGCCAGACATAACATCCTCTGGAGAATGGACACGATTCTGCAAGGTTACAAAAGTTAGTCTTCCAAGTGAAGAAGGGAAAAAAAGTATTTAATACTTAATACTTGTTGTTGTTCTTGTCACATTAATGCTCACAAAATATGCGGGATTTACCTGATATGCTCATCTTTTTCTCTGGCGGCTTCATTACGCTTTTCACTTTCAGTCGATTTCATAATGGCAGAAAACAACCACTTAATGACATCCCTAGAAGAGCAACATAATTGACCAGAGGTTAGTACAGTTGCCAAAAACTAGGCTCAATCAAGAGAATTTGTTACGTTAGCATAATTTATATAAAAGTAAAAATCCATCCGCCGAATGACTTGAGTAAGAGTATTCAGTCACTGCTGAGTCAGTTACAAATGAATCGACAACTATTTTGATAATTATCAAAAAAATAATGAATCGTTGAAAGCATTTAATTTAAAATTGTCCAAATACTCTTGATACCGGTCTCTCAACAGTTAGTTGATTGATGGAGTCCTTTATGAAAGCAGACTCATTATCTTTTGAGTTTTTTCAAAATATAGCATTTGCAAACATCTGCTTTGTTTTTTGTCTGCGTATTGTATTATATTGCTACCGCTCTCTTGACAGTTATGTTAACATATTAAGGAATTTTAATTCTTTGCAATGTCTGTATTGTTCTATTGTTAAAAAATAAATAAGTACCGGTAAATAAATAAAGCTTTTACTGGACAATAACACTGACCTTTTTGGACAACTTTCTGACACAATCATTACCAATTTATTGAAATGAAGTGAGCTTAATCTAGTATGAAAACAACAGTGGCCAACTATTTTTAATGGTCAACAATTTCTTCATCAGAGATGCAAGTCAACAATTGTCTATGCATTTTTAGTGTTGATTCCGAATTTCCCCTTTTTTTCGCTCTAGCACATCAGGTTTTCATAATGACAATACAATAACAAAAATATACCGTAAATATATTTATTTAGTAATATTTTATGAATTGAAGGTTAGGTTGAGCAACAGGTGTCTTTTTCTTTCTGAAACCTCATCGTTATAATTTACAACGCATGGTAAAAATCCATATTGCAATCAAATATTGGTTGTACATGTCTGCCTTGCGTTTGGTTGGCCGCCAGACCAGTGTGTATCCCACCTGGGATAAGCTCCAGCTCTATCTGCCACCCAAATCAGGACAAGCGGTATACAAAATGGAAGGAAGGATAACTGACACCATGGTCTGTGACTTTGATTTTTCCAAAATGGTCCTTTGCAAAACAACTCTTTTGTGACCAAGCACAACCACTGGCCGAGTGAATAATGTAATAGTTTAGGTTCATTATAATCAACTTTTTTTTTTTTGAGGGGGAGGTAAGGGTATAAAATGGTGGCTGAGTTACAAAACATTGGTCTGTTTCCTTTCCAAGATAGGCCCGTCGGTTCCTAGACACCAAACTCACTGTACTTGCGGGAAGTGCTGATTGCATGACAATGTAGCTCTTGCGATTGAGTGATGGAGTTCAGACGTGGACTTTTTGTGAGAGAAGTCATCCTCCAAAGTCTGTACAATATACTCCAGGAGCATGCGCACCACCTCGGGGCGATGATTTTCTTTCTCATCCTGATGAAAAGGGGCCAGCATAAGAACATATGTAAAGTGATAGCTTGTACAATCCTTAAATGTCATCGAGATTTTGGACATCAGACTGTTGAACTTACTTTATTTCAGACATCATTAATTGATCAACTCGTGAGCAAAATAGTTTACAATATGAACAAACTAGAGCTAGACCAGTGTCAGACAAAGCGCCATGTTCAACTATACGAGCAAGCTCGCAGTGATAAATTCCCCAGTGTTCAGTACCTGAGTGGACATGACTGCTGTCAACATCTCCCAGCTCCAAGGCACTGTCTTTTTATCCACCAGGTGGTGTCTATGATCAAAACGTGATTTCAATCCATGAATAAGAATATTGGAATTTCATAATATGATATGATTTTGGGTCATTTTCTTTGGACAGACTATCATTCACACTGGCGGTTGTTAGCTCTCTCTCACCTTTGTGTCCTCATCAGCAGATTCCAGGCCCGCACGCAAAGATGACGTGGACACTGTGCGTCTAGCAGGATGCCACTTAGCACGTGGGACGTGACATCCTTGGGAAGACAGTAACCAGGATGTAGGAGGTCCGACAAAAGCTGCAACGTGCCTTCGTGGTAGTTCTCGTCCATGGTGATGTAAACTAGGCTGAGTCTTTGCTGGCACCCAACTATTGATTTGTCACATTTCACATTTTCCTCATGCATCTAGAAAGACAGCATTTGATAAGTCCATGCTTAAAGGGTGCGAATAAGTGAATTCAGGTACAAAAATGTGAATACGTGTACCAACCAGAGTATTTGCTAATCCATCCATTAATATCTGGCATGCACGTGGGCACACAAAATGCCTTTCATCCTGACTGGCCCCCCTGAATTCAACATCAGCAGTTCCTTCGCCATCACTCTCCCCTTGCCACATAAAATATGTTGGACTGTCTAGCTCCGCTTCACGGCCACCTGCCCAACAGCCATCCAAATCTTCACTTTTCGATATGGAGCAAGGAGAGTCAACAGGAACGCTCTGGGACAGGTGATCAGACCTGTTTGACTCAATATCACTCACGTCCTCTGTCGCTCTTTGCGAAATGGTAATCCCATCTTGTTTACGGTCACATGTGGACATCAGGTCTTCTTGGTTGTTGTTTGTGTAACATGAGGCAGGGGTGAATGCGGCGTCATCCATTTCATCTGCATGAGCGCTGTGCGGTTGTCCGGGACACATTGACCTCTGCATGGCATCTTCACTTAAACTAAGAGAAGCGTTCTGTCCTGAAAATGTGGCTTCTGTCACTCTCGTTTCTAGAAAAGGATGTTTTTTTGGTATTGTGCCCTGCTTAGATGATTTCTGCATATGTAAATCAAGTTCATTTGAAGTGTCATGTTTCCATGTTCTTTTTAGTTCGTTGTCCTCTTGTTTGGCCTTTTTCATCAAAGTGTTCTCATTGACGTTTGTTCGTCTTTCATGCAACTTCACATCTGGAAGAGCCTTTGTTGCTTCTCTCTCCCCTGTCAGTACCTAGAAAAAGGGAAGATACAATATCTTATTTGAAACTGCAGACAGGAAAAATATGTCCAGATGGGAATTGAGCATGAAGAGCTGACAAAACCGCGCACAAATTGACATAAAAACAACAGAGCCTCTGTCCCATCTTGTGAATATATCCACTTCTATTGATTCAAAACAAACAAACAAACAAAAATCTTCATTTGATGCATCTTGAAGCAGATGAGGCAAAATGGAGTTCACCCCATGCTTGTAGCGCGCGAATGAATTATCATTCGTACGACCCAATAAGAGCTATTTGAGCACTCCTCTCCTCACAGTAGAAAGGGTGGTGCACAGTCAAAAGAAGCATGGAGAAAACAAATCGGCAATGTATGCACATCGGTGATGATAAAAGGAGGCAAGTTTTCAAAACTCACCTTGCTTTGATGAATCAGATGTCAGCATTGCTGATAAATGTGGGTAAATCCATTTGATGAAGAAATTAGATATGACCCGAGTGAGGAGAAGCAGTACAAGGGATGGCTATATGTAAATTTATTGCAACCAGCATGCTTTGCAGCACTCTATAAATAGGTAAATGGAACCACCCGAGACCCATTTTACACACTCCCTTTAAAACCGTATTTCCATATTGTGCCTTTTTGGAAGACTGTATGTGTAAGTATTGTTTACAAACTGCTTAAACAAAAACATGATGGGCCGCAGGTGGGCTTCTCTACCACCAGGCTGAGCAAATTTAATAAGAGAGTCACTGTCACTGAATGTTTACGTCGTACTCAAGTAATTATTTGGGAGACTACTTTTTACTTGAGTCATATTGTTGTCAACTGCAGCTGCTGTGAAAGCGCCACATAAAGATGAGTTGAGTTCCAGAATGTCCACTGTCAGACGTTTTTACTGCTTCCTGCCGGAATACATTTTGTAAGCGCGCGAGCAAGTTATGAAAAAAAGTTTTTAAAAAGAAGGTTTTAATTACGGTAAATTTTGCGTCACATGATGGTGTACCGCACCGACTGTCCGAAGACAGCTGGGATAGGCTCCAGCGCCCCCGCGTCATTCACACAGCTATTTCAGTAATCCAAAAATAAATAGTTAATATTCAGTCTTTCAATTTAGTTGCAGTGTAGTGTGTACATAGTATTGGGATTATTTTAGTCAAACATCTATACACGGTCGTAATTTGGAGTGAAGCGATATACAGTAATAAGCTTTCATCTCAAATACAAACTGCAATACCGATCACTGTGCAGCAGGAGTCCTTTCAGAGCTAATATGAATGAATCATCGCGTAATGAACCATTGGCTGATACGAGAAAAACAATGTCTCATTTGTTCATAAGGCTTCACTTTGCCCATCACTACATGCTGCGCCCCCCCTGCTCTAGCGGAACATGGTGCCTTCCCAAATAGGTTTCTGTTGCGCAATTTGCGCGAATCTATCGTACTTACAGATGGGTTGATGGTGGCATCTTGGACATCAAGCACAGTCATGGTGGACTTTGGCTCGGCGACAGAGATGTGGTAGGAGCCCACAAATTCCACATCCGAGCAGTCTTCATCACTGTCGGAATCAGAGCTGATGGTGAGGACAACATTCATCTCTCTTCTTCCTTCGAACAATGTCGAGGTTTTCGAGGGCCAAAAAGAGGCGACGTAAACCACCTAACGACATTTATTTACCGCAAAAACAAGACCAGCTTCTCTAAACCTAAAACAGTCTTTAAAAAAACTATGAGATATTACACAAGAGGTAGAGAGTATTTGAGCAAGTCAGCATATTTGTTATCACATATTTACATTACGACTTCCTGCTTCTTCTTGTGTTTTTTTTTTCTTCTTCTGCGTTATACACACAGAGGACAGCTTTTGGCATTAATTGTTCACACTGTCATCTATCGTAACGGAGTGGTACCACAGTGATGGGCAATTTATGCAAAAACCTCACGTGATTTATTAAAACGGATAGATGAGACAGGTCAATCGTAGATGAGATTAAAAAACAATGAAATTCTTTTATATATAATAATCATAAATTAATTAATTTTTCTCAACCTCTTTTCTTCACTAGGGTTGTGGGAATACATTCATTTACTTTTTAAAAATTGTGAATATTTATAATGAATGCTCAATTATTTCATAAAATATAAGCTATTGCAGGCGGCCCGGTGAACCAGTGGTTAGCGCGTTGACATCACAGTGCAGAGGTACCGGGTTCAATTCCAGCTCTGGCCTCCCTGTGTGGAGTTTGCATGTTCTCCCCGGGCCTGCGTGGGTTTTCTCCGGGTACTCCGGTTTCCTCCCACATTCCAAAAACATGCATGTCAGGCTGATTGAACTCTCTCTGAAGACGGCTGGGATAGGCTCCAGCATCCGCCGCGACTCTTGTGAGGATAAGCGGATCAGAAAATGGATGGATGGATAAGCTATTGCATGTGAAAGTGCGACAAAATGTAGACTTGTCATGTGGATCCGCAAACCACTGGTAACCATGTTCCTCATTGTCTACTTGGCTACTTCATTTTTTATTTATGATCACAGTAATTATTTGATAACATTTGAATCATGTGTACTTTTCAAAATTTTATTATAATTTTTCATTTTTTTGTAAATCAAATCATCTGCACACCATTTATTTATAAGACTGTTATTGTGAGGTGAGTGTGAAATTATAATAAATTGTTGAACCTACTACTGTTCAAAGGAATTATTTTTTTCAAATTAGGGGGGATGCCAATACTTTCAATTTTCTCCCCTCTATTAATTACAAGAATCAGTCACTCGCCCCGCAAATTGTGAGATGTGATGCATGACTTCAATACAGTTTAACTATCGAATTTTAGGGGGAAAATGGCTACATTATTGCTTCATCGGGACTCCTGAAAATGTTTTAAGATTTGGAGTGATCTGTATGTGACCTGCAGGCCATACTCTATTACCCCTTCTTCATACACGCGCGCACACACACACATAAGTGTGTGTGTGTGTTGGTTTTATACATATACACATAGAGAGAGAGAGAGAGAGAGAGAGAGAGAGAGAGAGAGAGAGAGAGAGAGAGAGAGAGAGAGAGATAAACAAACAAACTATATTTTTTCCAGCACAGTTGACATTTTCATCAGTGTTTTAGTGATGAAAATCTTACCAAATTTTTTCATGGTTCTGTTCTGTTTGTGCAGGTGGCGTAGGTGGGCTTCCTCTCCCGTTCCATACCTGTTTTCCACCTGATCATCAGCTTCCTTCTGTTTAAAAAGGACTGCCAAGTTGACACCTGTTGTCGGATAATTCGCCTTGCTCCTGACTCTCATTCAAATGCAAATTTTCTTGATGGTCCACATTCTCGAGCCTTGTTTATTGTCTTGTTTTAGTATTTACTTGTTTTACCCTTTGGTATTCTTCTTGTATCCTTTGTGTTTTTTGGTTTTCCTGAAATTGGCTTCTTCTTATCTTTTTGGTGATAAGTGATTTTGTGCTATTAATTCCCCCGCCTTTTGCAAGCTCTTTTGCTCCATCTCATTATTATTTCCTGATTCTGTGTTACCAGCGTTTTATGTTGTACTTTGTCGGTCTTGCGGCCGACCTTGTTCTGTAAATAAACATTTTTTGTATATGATCTTATCCAGGTCTGCGTTTGTGGGATCCGATTCTCTTCTGGATTGGTCCGGAAACCTAACGTTTTTTGGAAGAAAAAGGAGAAAATATTTCAGCCTTCAGACATAGGGAGATTTAAATATCATAATTTTATGTCTAATATGTGTGTGATTGTAAAAAATTAAAGTTTATTGGGATTTGTATATATGCACAGGAATCATATAGCAAATATGAAAATGAAAAATGGGAATCGAGTAGATTTGTCACTCATAATAATTTTTTGCTGGATAATTTAATTAGTCAATTTAGAATGTTGGTAGCTTAATGCGTTTTTTTTAAACAAATATTTATTGTTACAGTATTTGTGACACTAACACCTTCAAGAATACTGTGTTCATTTCAGTTCTTCACTGCCACAAAATGCCCCAAACCAATCAGCCGTTCAATGAGCGCCACTTGAGGGCGCTCAGACTTTGCAGACACCCCATGTGAAGCTCCCCGTTCGTGTTCAGAGTAAGGTGTGGGGGGAAAATTGAATTTAAATGCCTGGCCTCTCGAACATGGGACGAAACAACGGCAATATTACATGTTGCTTAACTAGAAATCATGTTTTAAGGCTTTGATACTAATGCTGCGTAGGCTTCACACTCCTTTTACCCCCCAAAATAAATAAACAAATCAATACCTAATGCAAAGTTGCCACTGAACAAGAAACAGGTGGGGCGCGGAAAAAGAACATAGATGTTTAAAAAAATGATACAGTGAAGCCAATTTTAATCTCATTGGTGTTTTACAGCCAGAACCAGCAATAATAATTGTAAGAGTCTATTGTGCAGTCTTATCTGTGTTCCAAATATTTTATGAGATCCTTTTCAAAAGGATTTGTCACTGTCCAGAAGTATTCTAGGAAAGTAATGTGTTTTTTTTATCCCTTAAAATGCTGATTGTTTTTCTTGAAAATGGATGCTTAAACCGCAGTCACATAATTGGATGAATAGAGCAACTGACCTCAGACGCCTGCCTCCGACTGACACCGGATGAATCATGGTCAGATGTTAGCTCGACACTGCAGCAGTGTGAGATTGAAGTAGGCTGCTTTTGCAAAAAGGACATAATGCATGCGTGTCTATATGGTCTCAGGAAATGACTGTGTGGGTGCGTCTGCCAGTGAAGGATATGCTTCGAAAATCCTCCTCCTCACTATCATTTAGTTGTGTTGACAGTAGCCCTAGTTTGAGTTCTTCAGTTCTGAGAAGGGGTGGTGGGAATCATATCGTTCTGCGAGACAATGCGATTCAAGTTAAATTGGATGTGAATGCGTTCTGTAAGATCATTTAAGAGACGAGAGATTACCGAAGCTCCGAATGTCCTGCAACCATACATGGACACAGATGGAGGAATGAGATACCGAATGAGCAGCAGACCATGAGAGTTACAATTTGAAATGGGATCAGAAGTACAGTATGTCTACACACATTAGGAGGCAATGGTATCAGGAAAATATTTCAATCATTTTTTTATCTTTGTCTCTCTATTGGAAATACTTTCTCATCGACACATTTCACAGGCATACATGGAGCCACAAATGCATTCAGGTACAAACTGAACTGAAACATTGGACATTTGTGCTTGGTAGATCATTTCTCAATTGCGTCAGTGCTTCCTGCCAATAAATCTTACATAGCTGAAAGCCTGTTCTTTTTATGTGTTTAAATGATATCCCATTTGCAAGAAATGTGCATTTGTGGGATGATGAGTATGCCAATGTGCCAAATCTTGACTGCCTACACACGTAGGCAAAATTGTTGGTACCCTTCCATTGGAAAGAAAAACCCTAAAATAGTCACTGACATTACTTGAAAGTAATGAGAATGGAATTTTCAAAACTGTATAATGGCTAGCCACAAAGATTCGATGAAGATGTCCTTTGGAAAGATGAGACAAAAGTGGGGCTTTGTGACAGGTCGCATCAGTTCCAATGACCACAGTCGCAAAAATAAGCCAGGTTATGTTCTGGGGCAATGCTGCAGCCCTTGGAGATATTTTCACCGACTTCATTTGGTCGGACAAATTGTATTGAAATGAATTATTGATTGAACACGTCTGGAGGTAATCAGGCTTGAGTGCGATGAGTGAAAATGAAGTCAGCTTTCCAAAAAAAATGTGATTCGCCACAGTTAAGTGATTTAGCAAGTAGAGCAAGTACTTTTGCACACAGGGCCATGTAGCTTTGAATATTTTTCTTACTTCAAAAAAATAAACTCACCATTTAAAAACTACATTTTATGTTTACTTGGGTTATCACTATCTGAGAGTTATGGGGGGGGGGGAGAGAGCTTAAACATTAAAGTTGAGAAACGAGGCAAAAAAGTATGAATTTGAGAAGGGGGCAAAGACTTTTTCACAGCACCGTAGACAAAAGTAACATCACTAAGATGAATACAAAGGAGTTTCGATATCATGGCTGAATCAAACCAGACACCGGCGGGAGATAGTTAACGCTCTCTACCGCAGCCAGTCTGAGCTCATTTCTGCTACCGTGTTGCATTTGGATGAGAACGAGGAATATTTTGATCAGGCCCTGATGAACAAATGTCTGTACAGAGAAAGTTTAACAATGTTGTGCTGCACTACTTGTGAATTTGTAGTCAATATCCTTAATGACTCAGAGACAGACTGTTTCAACAAATGTATTTGAAAAACTCTTCAGTTATCTATAGATAGATAAATATATAAATAAATAAAAGTATTGCGTTGGAATCCAAGTTCTGGGCACGAGAGAGACTGTCGCATGTGAAGAAAGGGAAGGATAAGAAATGTTACCCATGAGATCCACCCTTTGTGTCTTCTAAAAATAATGGAAAGGTCCGGAGGGAAAACACACAAACAGAACTTCTTCGTAGATTGTTTTATGAAGTCCGTTACATCGAGAGAAAGAAGAAAAAGATTGTCCATCAGATGGATTTAACCTTGTAGATGGGATAGTGATTGGGCAGGGTTGTCAAAACAAACAATCAACACTGGTGTGTCGTCAACACTATAAATGTGTCAGTGTTAATTATTAGGTCAAGGTCCAATAATAAGCATGTTTCGGTCATCTAGACTAGAGTTTGTCTTGCTGGGGCCTTCACAACCTATTCA